ATTTCGACGTGCGACTACCCCGTGACAGTGTGGGCGGTGTCGAATGTCAAAAAATGATTTTTGTCATGTGGGGTGTGTATTGAAAGGCATGGTCGTGTAAGTTATAATTACGCAGGTGGGGTGTAAAAACGGGACAAAATGAGACGAAGCGTGATGTGAGACAATGACGGGAAAGTGCTGAAAGACGTTGTGGGCGTGCCACAAAGACAATTCCGGTGTTTTCACCCCTTTGCTACATTTCGTTTGCAACGGTTTATTTACAAAGTAATTACATGAGCTACATCCTGGAGGTTAAAAACTCGTTTGAATTCAAAGATTCCCGAAAATTTGGGTATGGAAATTTCTGCTTCCTGCTAATTTTTGTCATACCCAAATTTTCCATACCTAAAATTCTGCATACCCAAATATACCGCTACCCATACTTCCGAGACCAAAATTTCTGCAGACCGAAAATTCCGACACCCATATTTCCTTATACCCAAATTTCCATACCCAAATTTCTGAGACCCAAATTTCCAGACCCAAATTTCCGTACACCGTATCATCCCACCACTATTACCTAATTAATGGCGCCAATAGTTAGTCATAGATGCACGGGAATGGGCGGGAATGTAAGAAGATGTAAAATCCCTATCTCCGTAATGTATTATGCAGATCTTAACGGCTTCGTTTATCCGATTGGCTTGAACCTGTACCTTAATATTTTACACCAAGGTCAAGTTGGTATACTAGTTAAGCCAAACAGCGGCACTGCCTTAACGGCCACTTTTTTAAATTCCTGGCTCACTGTGAATTGTAGAGATCAAAGTATCATATATTTAACATTATTTGCAAGGTCGGAATCCATCGGGAGGACATTAAATTTTCCCCTTTAGACTTGCCAGCTTTTGGGAGCAATTGAATATTTTTGGTAGCTTTGTAAACTTGATAAATTTAAAAAATACAGTTTGTAACTTATTTAATGATACGATCGCATTATCTTTATATCGAGATGATTTCGTAATTTAAAAATTTGAAACTCCGTCCAAAAATTCCTCGTCAATTTTCTCGTCGTTGATTTTTAATGCCACACACAGGTCAAAGGTCACGATTATTTTTTCGACAAAATTTGAGGGGTCGAAGAAAAAACTTTGTGGATAATTTTTGTTTGAACTTTGCAATATTTTTTATCAGATGCGGCATGCGTTTTGAAGAAAAACGAGCTTTGGTCCGACCGTGTACGATTTTTTTGACGCTCATAGGAATTTTTCGCCAATGAAAGGTTTGAGGTCTAAAATTGCCACCATGGCGAAAAATCGAAAACGGAAATATGCGTTTTCATACAGATAGGCTGGATATGCAAACGTATATTTTGGTTTTCGATTTTTTGCCACGGTGGCGATTTCACTCTAGTGACCGTAATACTTGACCTCTTGAGTTCAAACTTGGCACACAAACTCACAATCACATTCCCCTGGGTGGTTCTCAAGGATTTTGACCTAGGTCCCTTGAGTGACCTTCCAGAAATTACCAAACTTGTTGCATAATATTTGGTTTTTACACTCTAGTGACCGTAATAGTTGACCTTTCGAGGTCATATTTGGCACACACACTCATAACCATATTCCCTAGGGCGGTTTTCAAGGAGTTTGAGCTAGATGACTTCAGTGACCCCACAGAGGTCATTCACGTTTTACGACATCTGCGGGGTCACTGAAGTGACCTAGGTCAAAGTTCTTGAAATCCACCCTGGGGAATATGATAAGTAGTGTGTGTGCAGAGTTTGAGATCAAAACGTCGAAAAGTACGGTGACTACATAGAGTGCAAAAACGTTCCAACGTCATAAAACTTCAATGACCTCTGTGGGGTCACTGTAGTGACCTAGCTCAAACTCCTTGAAAACCGCCCTAGGGAATATGGTTGCGAGACCGTGTGCCAAATAAGACCTCAAGAGGTCAAAAAGTACAGTTACCAGAGTGTAAAAACCAAATATTATGCTAAAGTTTTATGATTTCTGGAGGGTCACGCTGGTGACCTAGGTCAATATCCTTGAAAACCACCCTGGGGAATATGATTGTGAGTGTGTGTGCCAAATATGACCTCGAAAGGCCAACTATTACAGTCACTAGAGTGTAAAAACCAAATATTATGCAACAAGTTTGGTAATTTCTGGAAGGTCACTCAAGGGACCTAGGTCAAAATCCTTGAGAACCACCCAGGGGAATGTGATTGTGAGTGTGTGTGCCAAGTTTGAACTCAAGAGGTCAAGTATTACGGTCACTAGAGTGTAACCATACTAACCCTGTTGGTAATACCTTATTCACCAAGCAATCGGAAATAATTTATTACCGGATTTTTTAGAGTGGATATACAAAAAAGCAAACATTTTTTAACCTCTCTCCTGCTTAATTCACATTTTATTGCAGAAATAAGTATTTGTGAATGTTATTTAATCATTTTGGAACAAGGGTCGCATTAGGGTCTTATGGTACTTCAACCCATTTGCGTACTTTACATCGTATCTTCCTCTACACATATTTACGTAGCCATGTACGTATTTTTTGTACAGGTCGGCTGACTCGCAACTCAGGCCTTTGCAACAGTCCGTGTCCCATTCGCATTTCCGATAATCAATCCTTTTGCAAGTACGTTCCCCAATGTAGAGAAAATCCGGCCGGTGGCTCTCCTCCGTGGAATAGAAGCAAAAGCCGTCCTCCGATCTCCAGTCTTCGAACGAGGCCACGGCACAGTGTTTGTATAGCTTCGGTTGGCCCGCCTTGTGCGGTGGGTCGCGGCAATTTTCGGCACTGATGCGTGGCCCACCTTCTGGTTGATCCGGCTGTGCAAACAAAGATCAGGATGATTAATTATCAGATATACTTTTACTGTATATGAAAGATATATATATATATATGAAAGATAAGATATATATGAAAAGGGTTATTTTTAATCCACCAGACTTTTAATTGAAATCACATAACTAAATATATTGAAATCGCATAACTTGAATTTCCAGTGCTTTAATTCAATTTAAAAACTGTAAAATTGAAATCTGCCAGACTTTTCTGAATCATACATTTTATTCAATTTGGAAGATTTGCCTTTAGAAATCTTAGAAAAACATGAGCTATTTCTTTGAATTTTTGTATAAACAAATTCTGTCAACAAGTAGGCGGCCTACCGGCCTTAGCAGGGCAGACCCTGAAGGCTCAATATCCCAACAGGAACGGTCATGGCGTCCTCTCTCTGACGTTGAAACCATTCCAAATTATTGCAATTCCTAGACCGTGGGAAACAACGGTCCCCAGCACCCCTTCTCACTTTTAAAGGAACTAGTTTCCGGTTAATACTCCAGTTAACCTACATAGTTTGTTTAAAGTTGGAACGAGGTCATATGTCGGTGTAGAGCATTATTTTGGAATCTAACGAGAATCTCATATGCTTGAGGCTTACCATTATGTAGCTCACCAGTGGACTCGTTTTCTAAAAGTATTTTCATTTTTCATTGATTGATTCAACTACATATGTACATTATTTGTACTTGGGAATCGTGGAGCTTAGGCCCCATACTTTTGGTTAACAAATTTTGTTTCGAACATTCTTAGAAATCCAATATCCAAATAAAATCAAGTATTCATTACCAGGCTATCATAAATGTATGATTCTACCAAAGTGGTATTGATAAGTAATACGGTGTAACACATAACAGTTCGTTATTAAAGTTTTACCATGTCGGTAGGAAATTATCACAGACCGGTATGATTTTAATACCAAGCGGTAGCAACTTTATAATACCGAGAAATCAATACCAGCACAAGTATACCAGATTTCTGACAGTGAAGTGGTTGCAAAATTCCTTGGTGTCTCCGATTTCTACTACTGTGCACTCCTAGATTATGATTGTATGGTTTACCACTGATTAGAAGAGCAAGGGATACCTGAACAGTAACTATTTTGATAGATTTTTACATATAAATGAATTCATAAGTTATGAAATTCCGTGTCTGATGGATTCAGTTATAGAGGTTGTTTTAAGGCATATAAAGTACTGGAAATTCAAGTTATGGAATTTCAATATATTTAGTTATGTGATTTCAATTAAAAGTCTGGCCCATTAAATGAGACCCTATATGAAAATGACATTACCGAAAATTCAATTCATTCGTTCATTCATTCATTCAATGAATTCATTCGTTCATTCATTCATTCAATGAATTCATTCGTTCATTCATTCATTCAATGAATTCATTCGTTCATTCATTCATTCAATGAATTCATTAGTTATTAGAATTGAATTATTCAGCTGCCCTGTTTCAAATTCTTGAAACAGTAAATAGATTCTTTTTATACTGTAATACACGAGATATTGCCTCAATTTACCCCCAAGAGTATAGGTTGTTTCCAAAAGGAAAACCCCGGGGTTTTCGTTACCCTGGATGTGCCAGGGAAGTTCGTCTCAGACATGTTTTAAATGTCGGATAAATTTTGATCATTAACAAATTGATCAATTCTCTGTTACGTAAATTAGTAAAAAGTCTGATAAATGCCTGAGAAAGTCATTGAAAAATGACTTCCTATTTATCTATTTAAATGACTTTCTATATACCTCACATTTATGTACAAGTACATATGTATATTTCAGATATTGAGAAAAAAATAAACGTTTGACAAGTAAGATAGATTATCATTTTTTTAAATTGACTCGGCACAAGTGCATCCTTGCTTTACAGTTTTAAAATGAATTAAACTTAAATACCTCAGGGGCGTATGATGACGACAAAGTTATTAGAATGGCAATCACAAAAATGTGGCTCATCATGCTCTTCATGGTAGACAAAGTTCGTGCGTTCCACAAGGAAGGAATTTGAAGTTGGAATTTGCGAATCTATGTAAAGAAAAATAAAAATTTGGGCTTTAATTTGCCCGGAATTACGCTTACATATCTTGTACAATTCGTTTTAAAATTCTGTATGCTGGCGAGAGGATGATAAGGCCTTCTCCGAGATAAACTGAAGTACACTCTAAGAAATTGGGTGACAGGCGTTATCACCATGCGAGTGGAGATAGCAAGGATCACCGTAATGGTGATAAACCTATCACCGAAATTTGTCACCATTGGTAGTGACAACCGCTACCACCGTACGATGGTAGTAGTCTCTCTGCACGTGGCTCAGAGTACGTGGCGGTGAGTTTGTCATACTCCACGCATCAGACACAAATAAAGGAGCGGAGTTTTAATTGTAAAATTACTCCGTGTTTCAAAGTTTAGGAGGAAACAAATAATACCGTCCCCAAATATTGGTGCATTTATTGACACGGTAAGAAAAACAAATTTTTATTTTTAAGTTAAAATTTAGCTAATTTTAGTTAATTTTGTTTTGTTACTAGTTGGAGAAAAATTCGGACGTGGAGACCTCGATTCGCCTGGATGACGATGACGGGACAAAAATTAACGAAGTAATGTTTCCATAAAATTTAGTTGCTTTTTTGCAGCTGTAAATACACATGTATGTACATCATTAATTAATGTATATTTTTTTTAATTGGTCCGCCAACTGTAATCGATCCGAGGTCACCGGTTGTACTTCAAAAATATCGTCGATAGTACAACAGCATATGTACTTGCAAATGCAAAAATTGGGACAAAGCTCTTCCAACTGAAAGGTAAAACAATAAACGCTGATTTTTTTAACAATCTAAATCAGTGTTGATTAATTTCAAACTTTAATTAATTTCCATCAGTGTCCTACATGTCGTTACTGGAAATTTCGCAACTTTAATTGCTGGTGCCACAATGGTGAGAGGTTTTACATACATATATATTTATACATAAGTATTAATTATCTGTTTAAATACTTGAATAAACTAATAAATTATGAAAAATGTGACATTGTTGTAATAAGTAGCGAAATTATTTTAAATTACTCATTACCAGACAGTGACAAGGAGAGCATAATATGGTGGTAGCATATCACCGCGCGGCCGCGCGGTGACAAAAAATGCAGATCTTTGTACCACCATCCGGTAGACGTCTACCACCACGATGGTGATGGCACTTTCTATCACCGCGTGGTGGTAGGTAACCACCATTGCGGTAGAGTCACATATAGTCACCGCTCGGTGATAGAATGGTGGTAAAATTTCTTAGAGTGTATGAAATAAATCCGTATTGTGTATTTCATTTAGCTTCCAATTAATTATCCACAGGAAATATTAAACTTTAATGTGTTCCGTCCCGGCTACAAGGGGCCATCAATAAATTACGTCAGAAAAAATTCTAATAAAAGATTTTAGCACCCACCCACCCAGTGTATATATTAAAGAATAGGCATTTTTAACTTTGGAAGGATAGAAAGACCACTAAAATGAAAACGTAATACATACATGGACACGTTCCCAAATTTGGACAGTTAAGTCACAAATTCTACGTTTATTGTTCTCTTTAATGTGTTGGCCCCAGTCATATTTAAATCGATTTAAACAACACAATTCGTCAAATTTTCTATGTATACCCTTCATTAAAAATTATAACTTCCTCTAATTAAAATGCTGGCGTAAGAGCATTGTTGTAATTTGATTAAAGTTACATATGTAAATCATTAGTAAAGTATGTAAGTTGACGACACCATCCATTCCAACGTTTGACGAAGGCGTTAAGCTGGAACGATCCAAGTTTCACCCTAAACTGCCGTGCTTCACGTCTCATCATCAGGATAACTAATTTCGTTTCCCATTTTCATTTATACTACCCAAACTGGATCATTCTTAAATACAAAGGGTGCACCACTTGGAAATACTTAGCTAACCAAAATAATTAAATATTTTAAAGATAACTTTCACCATTAAAAAGTAGTGCACTTTTAAGAATACCGTAAAACCTCTATTTATAGCCCTATTCTAATTATAGCCGGTCTCCAAATATACCCGGGTCTAGAGACCAAGATTTCTAAATTTTAGCCGGGTTTCTAATTATAGCCTGGTCCCCAATTATGACCGGGTCTCTAATTTTGTCCGCTGTGTCCCCGTTCATAGCTCATTCAAGAAAAATGTTGCACATTATTCTAATCAACGAATAAGTTAATCTATTAATTTTTACCTATTAATTTCAAGTTATTAATGGATATAATCATGACAGAAAATTTAAAAAAAAACTGCTAAACCTCGTTTAAAGATGTAGATTTGAAGTAAATGGGTTACTGATCATAATCTTGCTAAATAAGAAAACTCAAATTGAGTCAACATAATCATGTAACATCTAAAAATGTCTAAAATTTTGGGCGGAACAAATTTTAGCCGGGTCTCTAATTATGGCCGGTCTCTAATTGTAGCCGGGTCCGCGACCCTCAGTTTTGGATTTTAGCCCCGGCTATAAATAGAGTATTTACGGTACATACATACATAATTATTTTACCCTTGTGATAACTAAATCTTCTTCTGAATACCACAGGTTATCATGCATATTTGGATAAAATTGGGGTATTTTTCATGTGGATTTAATCATATATAGTCAACTTTTTACGTAGATGAGTATGAAAATCATCATCGCCACAGCGGTTGCAATAATCTTCGTGTTGTTCTCGGACGGGCGGCGGTTCTACCACAAATGGTCGCAGACATGTCTCGACGCAGAAGAATTCGTGTATGCGACTGGGCCATATCTGACTTTGAGGGAATGCAGACACGAGGATCCATACCAACAATGGGACTGGTTTCCGAACTCAACCATTGAAAATCAGGCTACAAAATTGTGCATTGCCGCCGTACCAGGGAAGGCGGGCAAACTAAATATGGAATCGTGTCAAAATGTCCCACGCCAAAAATGGGAAGCTTATGGTCAGTTGAATAATACGCTTCGAAGTTTGAAGACGACGGAGTGTCTGAAACGGAAAAATGGGACCCGAGCTTCCCCAGCAGAGTGCGAGTGGACGGCAGCCATGGCGTTCGAGTGGGCTGACTAAGATTTTTTAGGACGGGTTGAAATTTTCAATAGAAAGTTTCAAGGGATTTTGTGAATTAATAAAAACTTGGGAAAGGAGAAAATTTAAATAGTATTTGTTTTTAATTTTTTTTTGGAACTGGATTCAGGAATAAATCAATTCAAAATCAATCAGCATAACTATCTTGTTACGCATTACTTGTAGTTATTGCTTTGCCAATTTAAATTGAAGTCTTCAATTTGAAGATATATTCGCACATTTGAATTAAGCAATGGTCAATTGTCGCAGTTTAGTTATAAAAATTTATATCTGTTTCTTGACTTCAGTATATTCCCTACTTGAATGCAATTACACATCACGCCGCGCGCGAACATAAATAAATACATACATCCCAGGCTGCACCAACCGAGAAAATCACATGTATTATTGGTGTCCCCGGTGTCAATTTCGTGTTTGGGGCATTATTCGTGTAAATATTTTTTTAAACACGTTCGTAACACGTATTACAAAAACGACTTTCAAACGGATTCTTTATCACCAATTTTCTCGTTCATAACACATGTACAACCCGAGAATTACAACAACCCGAAACTCGTGTTTTCGAACACCAGAAATTCACGAGAATTTCTAGTGTTGTTGGTCACAGAAACCTAAATGCTGCTCTCTCCGTTGTAAAGAAAGAGGGACAATTCTTTAGTTCGAGATGAGTAATGGAGAAAGCACGATCAAGAAAAATATTCCGAAAAGTAAGGCAAGGAAATTCGGATTTTGCATTAATTTCAGAAAGTGCAGAAAAAATAATACCGCTGCCCTCGTCATCCTTGCCAGAGGCACACACACAGAGTTCACCATCACCCGAATATTTGATTTTTGAAGCAGATGACATCTCGGATTATTCTGACAATAATTTATCCACGCAGTCAAATCTAAGTGATAGTGATTCTGAACAGTCTAATACGGAAAGTAGTGCAAGTGATTTAAGGGGGTGGGCACTAAAGCATAACATTACATTCTCTGCTTTAGGAGATCTGCTGGAAATTTTGAATCGACATCCTAATTTTGATTTACCGAAAGATCCTAGAACACTTTTATGCACTCCAAGATCGACTACAATTGAAAAGGTGGAGCCTGGCGAATACGTACATTTTGAGTGGATTTCATCCGTCGAAAAGTTAATTCAAGTTCCAACAGCAGACTATATTAAAATTCAAATTAATATTGACGGAATCCCCCTCTATAAAAGCAGCACAAGACAATTCTGGCCCATTTTAGCGAAAATTGTAGAATATAATCAGGTCGTTGTAATTGGAATTTATTCTGGTTTTGGAAAACCTACAAATATTAATAATTTTTTGAGACAGTTTGTCAACGAATTCAACACCATAGAGCAATCTTCGAATTTAAAACTTAAAATATCTGCAATTGCGTGTGACGTCCCAGCAAGATCATTTATTTTGGGGACAAAGTGTCATAATGGTTATAGTTCTTGTGGAAAGTGTGACATAAAGGGTGAATATTTGGATAATAGAGTTACCTTTCCATCAGGAAATTATAATTTAAGAAATAACGAAAATTTCCGATCAAAATTAGATACGGCACATCATAATCAAGCCTCAATAATAGAATTACTACTCATTCATTTAGTAGAAGATGTGCCAGTCGATTTTATGCATCTTGTGTGCCTGGGAGTGACCAGAAAATTACTATTTTTATGGGTGAAAGGAAAAAAATGTCCAGGTCGTCTGCGTCCTCACCAAGTTGACCAATTATCCACTAATTTGCTAAAAATCAAAACCTCAATACCAAAAGAATTTTCAAGAAAACCACGTCCAATTAGAGATCTCGAACACTGGAAAGCAACTGAATACAGACAGTTTATTTTATATACTGGCCCCACAGTTTTGAAGAAAATCCTTGCTCCTCAATTTTACCAGCATTTTTTGTGTTTCCACGTAGCCATCACGATTCTTGCAAATCCTAACACTTATCTGAGTAAAAATAATTATGCACAAGAGCTACTAATATATTTCGTTAATAACTTTGGTGAATTATATGGGAAAAAGTATAACAGTCATAATCTTCATAATTTACTACATTTATCCCGGGATTGCATTCGACACGGTCCCCTTGACCAATTTAGTGCCTTCCCGTTTGAAAATAAGTTACAACAAATAAAGAGATTGGTGAGATCTCCATCTCTCCCCTTGCAACAAGTTTACCGGCGGTTAGTTGAAAGAGAAAAAATAGACCTGTCCTCTTTCAAGCAGCCAGTTTGTCAAGTATCGTTTTTCCAAGTCGACATTAATTCACCCGAGTGTTTCAAAGTGTGTAAGTTTGCAAATTTCGAATTATCCAACAAATTAGGGAACAATTTTTGCAAACTAAAAGATGGAACTATAATTAAAATTCACCATTTTGTTAGAGGATCACCTTCAGAATTATTTGGACAGAAGTTTAAAAAACGTGAAGATTTTTTTCAATCTCCTTGTCCTTCTTCTTTAATTGGTGTTCAACTTATCTCCGACTTGAGTGCAGTACGAAGATTTAATATTAATTTAATCGAATCAAAATGTGTAGTACTTCCATTTGAGACTGAATTTATATGCTATCCCTTGATTCACAGTGAAATTCAGTGACTTTTTACAATGCCGTACTCTATAGTTCATTTTGTTGAAACTGACGAGGTAGAAATTATCCCAATCAATTGGCTGTCAGCAAGTAAAAATAAATGCTGGTGGCCGCCGTACAAATCTTCAGAACGCCAATCGAAGGCCGTCATGAATGGGGACACGCCAAATCAGCAAGTTTGGTTATCGTTTGACGTAAAAGTTTTAGGCGGAGGCAAAATATTTGGTGAGTCTTTTTTATTGCATACATTGATAAAGTTATTTATAAGAAAGAAAAATGCTGTTTATTTGTTTGTTAAGGTTCTTATAATCAAGCAAAAAATAATGTTGGAAAAGCATTGGAAGAAACTGATCCGGAATTTGAGAGCGACTTGGAAGTAACTGGTCGAGGGCAACGACACAAGAAAACTGTTCATCTACCATCGCCCGGCGACTCCGATAGTGAAGAAGAACCGCCCAAAATGAAGCAAAATCGTTCTGTTCCCACGAAGACAATACCGCCACCACCACAATATTTTAGTAAGTTAAAATCGCGCATTTTTTATATTCCATTGCACCAAAAAAGTAGTATAATAAATAATACTGTTTATCCAGGTTTAGTGGGAGAGGGCTTTCAATCAGAAAAGGAAGACGGCCACGAATCAAATTTACCAGGACCGAGTGACCCCCCATCGCCAACTAATTCACAGCAATACCAAGGCACACTCTCTAGCGAGCAAGTTTTATCTAGCTCTCACGAATTGGAAAGCCGTTCGATTCCTCAGGCAGAGGACATTGATACAACTTTCGGCAGAGATAATGGCACGTCACCAAACGCAGGAAATTTAGGTAGGTGTGTGACAATTTATGTAATGTCTCAGTAATAAATAACTTGTATTTTACAGAATTCCAAAAGTGGATGGTACGTCAAATGAATGTGATGAAAGCCCAACTGCGACAACTACAGGAAAGCGTAGACGTTTTAGTGAGCAATTACAATTGGGGGACCAAGACGGGTGGTCAAAACGAAAAGTTTCCAGTGGGTTTATTACCAGTGGATGATGAGTCTGACTTGAAGAAACTCGAGGATTTCGCCAAGGCATCAAGAATCACATTGGTAAAATATTTATCAAATAATATTGCGAATTACCATGTGGCGTAATATAAGTATTATAATATAAGTAATAATATAAGTATTTATATAAGTATTATTCATGTTGCTATTTTTAACTATGCATATATTAATTGTTGCAACTTTGACAGATTACAGAACTGCAGAAAGGCATACGTGCGACCAAGGATGTAAAGATTGCTACACAGCGGATACTAGCCAAGTTGCTGACAGATAAGTATGCATCGTCATACAACTGGATTGGTTCAAGAGGACCGAAGTCACCTTTTTCAAAATCATGGATGAAGCACATTATATATGGTAAATTAGTTGTATGTGAATTAATTAAATATATAATGCGCTCCTTTAAATTAAATTCACCAATGAAATTGCTGTTTTCAGAGGCAATTCAAGGACTGGAAAACTTGGGCAACGCTGACGACGACGAGATTTGGGAAGCAATTAAAAATTGGCTCAAAAATTCCAACAAGCGTATTGAATCGGATAGGTAGGACAAAATGCAATATTATTTGTACCTATTTATAAAACTTTCATAATTTTTACTTTATTTAATTAGGAAAAAGTTGGAGAAGTCCAATGCAGCTCTTCCATTAAGAAATACTGGACCAGAATCAGACAATTGATTTTTTTCACAATTTTTTATTGTTATTTGGATTTAAAACTTTATGTAATGTTAATGGTCAGTAATAAATCATAATTCCCGCATCTAATTTGCAAATAAATCTCGTGTTCTGAACGTATAATTTCACTTTTTAATACGTGTTTTTTTTGGGGTTATTCTCGTGATTTGGTCGCGAAACTCGTTCCTTCAACACGTGTTTAGAACGAATAAGATACGTTAAAAATCGCGACACTTTCACCCAGTTGAGCACCAAATCTATACCAGTCTCCCACGTCGCTAACACGAAAACTGGGGTCGCCAGATTCGTTAAAAATTGGTGATAATCTCGTGATTGTGCAGCCTGGGATATATGTATTTATTTGCATATTTGCATATATGCAAAGAGTAATTAGCTACGCCAGTTTTTAAAATGGTAACCCTTTTAGGTATGCATGCTGTAAAAATATTTCTGTTTTTATGCCGCCGGTGTTATAAATACGGAAGAAATAAGTAGTTCTCATCATACATGCAATAACTGTGGAAATCTAATAACTTCATTCACCTTTGTGGTTAAATAATTTCAATAAGGAAACCTCACGATTATTTTTAAACGTATACGCAATTTTAAATCCAAATTGGCATACGGGCACAATAACTACTGTATTAACTCATCAGAAAAGTAAGTGAGTCATACATCTAATTTAATTTTCAGCTTTCGGATTTATTTATTCTACTTGGTTAAGAAATTTTAAAAAATAAAATACTGATAAAATTTAAACTATCTAGGTATAGTGATACAAATGAAAATTCGAATCTCGCCAGACACAAAAGCTTGATTTCGATCTGACACGTTTAAAGAATTGAACCGCCTCCGATTTTAGGGAAGATAGGGTCAATATTTTTCAAAACGGGTTTCACCAGCAGTTTTCTAATTTTTATTCCTGAATTCATGAGTGTCTCTGAAATTCTTAGAAAATTATTTTATGATTCTGGACCTTTTTCTGTCTGAATTTTTAATTTTGTCTTAGTGACTCGAAATGATGCTGAAATTATTAAGGATACATATACTAAAAGACAGAACATTTTAGAATATAGGTATATGTACCAATCTACTGAGCCAAATACATGTATTCATCAACTTTGAAGACGTACGTAAGCTTGTTGTATCAGTGTTCTATATTATTTGTATTGCAACTATTTACATATCTACATTATTTTATCTGGTTACTTTAATGTTTCGTGACTATAACAAATACATAACTAGTTTTAAAAAGTAGTTCTCTTTAAATTTGTCACGAACAGTAGCGCATAAGGCATTCGTATGTATTTATGTAAGATGAATTTTTTAACACTGCTCATGTAAAAAATTGATTAACAAAGTTTGTGAGTTACTGTTTTATAACGGAATATTCATATCGGGTTTCAAGTCATGACTTGTTTTATTTATTTATTTGTTTTTAGCCCGAATCCAACTTCAGGAGCATTTCGTGCCTGCAGCGTTAAGTAAATATATGTAAATGATTCATGATTAGGCATTGAATGCCACACTAGATGTTTATTTGACTATTTAAGAATATGAATATGTGGCCAAGGTTTAGAGAAGCTTCGAGAAGAAGCCAGCATCATCAAACTTTTTCTGCGCAGCAAGGACGCGGAGGAGTTAGTCTACAGTTTGAATAGTGAAGGTCTCGTTCATCAGTTCTCAGTCGGACAATATTTCCGAAATAGTTTGTAGCGAACTGATAGGTTTAGAGTGATTGTTAGATTTATATTGCTACGGTTTTAAGCGAGTTAATAAAAGTGTTTTATGAAATTTTTATAAAACACCAAATTTACTTACCACTTCAACAATTCCCGTGCGACATAGTGTGCAGCGCAACTTCAGCATACGTAATTCACTTTACCCTGTTTAGTTGACCATATTTGATGCCTGCCAGAAAGCACGCATGAATGCATCCGGTTGTCCTAATGTATAGCATTTGTTCGTGTCCCCGAGTTAAAAAATTAGTTACAATGTATATTTCCAACTTGGCCAAATATATAAATATTTTCGCTTCTTGCACCATAAATCTGTTTAACTACCGAAATATCGATATCCCCCAAACATCTGCGCCAATCTGGACAACCAGATTTACAACAGTTGAGACTTGTCCCGATGAACCTATGCTGGATGGTTGGAGGATGGACTACAAAATATTTTTACTTGATCCTGGCTTACAAAATACAACATTTCCTAGCTGCACTGATTCCGATGATTTGAATAGCGTTCCACCCCCATTCCGTAAAAATACGGGTCTCCAAAAAGCGTGGAATTGTTTGACCCGGTTTTATATTTTCCCACCCGATAAAAACCTTGGAATCTTGCATCCATCCAACTACGAGGAGAATTTCGCAAAGAAAACTTGGCACGTGCTATTTGACTTCGACTACGAAGTTCCCCGCGTTGGATATCACATTTTTGTCCAGAACAAAAGTGGCAAAGTTAATTTTGCAGAAATTGAAACGCTGAGGGTTTTTTTCAATAGGGACGGATTGAACATTTTCCTTCTTCTTGTTAAGGAACAACATAAAATATTCCAGACAATGATTTGTTGCCGCTACTGCTACCTATATTTCAAAATGTGCTACCCATTCGGTGAACTGGGCGACGTCGCAACAATGCGACAAGTTGAAGAAGGAGTTACTTTTTTTAATAAAATTAACAGCGCAGCCAACATCTGCGTTTGGGGCATCCCCAATAATCCGAAAATACTGCGAAATCCAAAACTTCACGAGGTTGGCAGAAATTTAGGTAATGTGGATTATGTCCTGCTTCACATTGTGGCACAAAACACCACATTGTCCTGCGCTACAGACAGTCCGCCAACCACAGAATTCTGCGAAACTTTGCCAAATTTAGTAATCAATACCTCCTCTTTCGTGCTACATTATGGGTGTTACAGTACTCATAGCTATCCCCTCATTAATGCTAACTCTGAGCGAGACATCATACTAACCAGACGAATAGAGCAGTTCGGATTTCTCGCATGTTCCCCTCGCCGCCAACCTCAAACTAGCTTAGCGGCTTTGCTCGGCGTTTACAAAATTGAGGTGTGGGTATCCGTCCTGGTCACCATGACCGTGGCCAGTCTCTTCATTTTATTTACTACCAAAGAGGAAAATTATATTTCTACCTTATTCACCACATTATCCATCGGCTATACCATGCTCCTCGAACAAGGGGCAGGTTTAGACAAAAATCTCAAGAAGCAGCGTTCCCTTTACTTTATCTTTGGTCCTTGGATCCTCATGTCACTCATAATCACAAACTCTACCCGGGGTGACAACGTGACGAACATCTTAGCACCATTGAGGGTTACCCCGTATGAAAATTTTTCACAACTTTTTCACGCCAAATTCAAGTTTATGGATCGCGTTGAATTATTTTGGATCGCAAGTAACGACCACGTTTATATGCCAGGGTATGGAACTGCCTTGGCAAAAGCCACATGGACAGTGCAAACGTCCGGAAGTGTTATAAGCTGGAAGGTATTGGACAGGTTACGAAAATATAATGTAGTCTCATTAATTGATCAAAAACAAAACTACAGGAACTTGTGGAGGCATCACGAAGTTTTTCTACAAAACGGGACACTTACTGAATTCCACTGTGCTGGAGACTTATTGGCCTTTCTCGGGTGGATGAAGTACCTTCAAGTGGCGAAAGCGTTTTTAGAGGATAACCACCCCGGACCGGAGTATAGTTTGGGGAAAGAATTCATTGCGGAACAGAGTTTTGGATGGAAAATGGAGAGAGTTGTGGATCCTAGAATTATGATGAGGGTGAGAGGATTGATTACCTCAGGGATTTCTGGTAGATGGATATTCTATGAGCAAATGGGGAAGAGTCGAAATTTTTCACCAAGTGCTATTTATCGTGCTCCAATCGGTATTAATTTGAAGGGAAATATGCGAGAATTATTTACAACATTTCTAATTTTTACAGCAGCTGCGGGGATTGCATTTCTTTGTGAAAGAATGTATAATGGGGTCAAGAGCTTGAGACAATATGGAATTAGGAAAGCCTTTCTGGGTTTAATTTTACAGGTTAACAAGCGAGTCAGGTATGTTTTGAAACCTTCGTTACGGATAAAAATTCCTTTACGTTCATTTAAAAATAAATCAAAAATTAAACCTATGCCCAGGGTACGGGAATGCTTATTGTTAAATATCCGAAATAAAACATTATGGCTGCGTAAGCTAATTAAATATTAAAATATTATTAAACATAATATTACTCACAACGTTTAAATTACATAATTTATACGTAAGTATTACTACGAAATATACTCGATGTTTAATTATTAGTATAAGCACAGCGGGTAATTAAAAGTTGGTGGTATAATAAATTTAGGTGAGTATTAAATAAATTCATGCAAATTAATCTACGCTATACAAAGGGTGGGGTCCCTATTCGTGGGAAATTTCAAACTCCCGGGGTGACAAAAGCACAAAAAAATTTAGTTTGTACCCTTTGATGGACAATTCGATCAACTCGGTCTATATATGAGTTCTTGCACTTGGAAATTATGAAAATAAGTCCACCCTGTTCATTTGGAATTTAGGTACGCTGAAAAACTTTCCCAGGTCTCTTCTCACTAGAAATTTAATGAAAAAGGTTCAAGGTTCGTGATATGAAAATTTTTTAGCCTCAACTTATAGAATAACAATTTGATTTTTGACTTTGAGTCCATCCTTGCATACCCTACAACTGTAACCATTCTTCTTAAAATTTCTCCAAAAGTGGAATTTATATCAGCGTACAATATATGTTTTCTGTCATCTTAAATAAAATTCTGCAGAAATTCGTTACACCCTGTGAATATAGGATATTAAACAATTTAATCCCTCCTCTTATAGTATTTAGAATTATTTCAGCAGCTTCCTCATCCTTCAAGAATTCATACGTATCCTGAATATTTGACATTGCGCATTCAAACGCGAAAGTACCAACCAAGGAGTCATGTGCTGGGCTGAGGTGAAAGTTTTCAAGTGTAAATTCGGAAAATGTTCTGAAAATCGAGGCAAACATATAAAGTGCATCCCATATGTAAAGTGCAGATGGAAAAA